ACTTTTTAATTTCTTCTTTAATTTTAAGATTTTTTACTATTTAATGCCTTTTATCTTTACATTTTTATCTTTTATGATTGTATCTTTTAAAATGTCATCTTTAATTTTTTTAATTTTGATTTTTAAAATTTCAATTTTTAGTTTTAGTTTTTAAAATATTTGATATTTTTTAACTTAAAAGAAAGGAAATTACTAAATCCAGCAAGTAAATAGAAGTCAGGGGAGGGAGCTGAGAACTTTGAAGGGTGAGTGGGTGCATGTAACACACGATTACATGCAAGGCAAAGGCCTGTATTGCTTTTACCAAAGGCAGCCCAGACATAACACCATATGGGGCTGCGTGGAGGAGGTCAGTGAGTTTATGGATGAGAAACACCGAGCTGGTGTGTTCTGCTTGGATTTCTGGAAGGGCTTCACTATGGTCCCTCCTGTTGGGGGCTTTTAAGGAAACTCAATAGTTTTTAACTAAGAAGGAAGTTTCGTGTCTGAATAAATACTGGTTGAAAGGGTGAAGTGCAGGGGTGTGTGGATGGTGAGTTACTGTGTGGGACAGAGGGGTCACAGTGCCCTTTACAGGGATAGGGGCTGGGATGCGTGGGGTTCAATCAATCTATCTCCAACATAAAACTAGTGAAGTGGTGATGTTTGCAGGTGAAACAAAGGTTAATCAGGGCATGAAGGGTAGGGCCTGACTTAAGGAATTGCAGAAAAGCTTTCAAGAGGCTCAGTGAACATTAAAATGGAAGAAGAAATTCAACTGTGAAGTGATGGAGCTTGGGGAAGATGGAGAGAACCCTATTTCCTCATTGCATCTATTCTCCTGTCTAAAGCAGTGGGCTCTGAGCTGGCTGTTACTGCACAGGAATGAGATCTTTGGAATGCAATAGGCAGTCCTGTGGAAAGGTCAGCTTGGTGCTAAGTGCCAATCAAAAGCAGCAAACCACATCAGGGATTGTTATGGAAGGGAAGCAGGACAAAACAGAGAACATCATTATGCCCTTATATACATCCACAGTGCATTTACCTCTGGGAAATGCTTTGCAGTTTTGGTCCATCTCAGGGGCTCAGAGGAGCAGGAGGAGTAGCCAGGAGTCCTCTATTGCTTCCGTATGAGGAATGAGCAAGTTGGCAAAGGCTCCTCTGCCTGACCAAGAGATGATGAGGGGGGATGTGATGGAGATTAAAGAGAGAATGGGTGGCGGTTGCTTGTGTGGTGTCTCTTCCAACGCAAGGACCAGAGGACATCAAGTGAAACCAGCTTGTGACAGGCTCAAAACAAGCAAAACAAGGTGTTTCTCTGCATGGCACATAGCTGAGCTGTGGGAGTTGTTGGATAGGAGGTCATGGATGCTAAAACTTGGCATGGGCCAAAGGGGAAGCAGGGCAGCTTCATGATTTAGAAGTCCTTGAAACCATCTTCAGGGGTAATTCTGGATCATAGGCTGCTGGAAGGAAAAACAGACATTGGGGAAATTTTACTACATGCTGCCTTGTTCTTATAATCCTCCAGAGGCAAAGTTTGGCTGATGGGAGATAAGGGATGTTGGACTACATGGATCTTTATCCTGACCCATTCTCATGCTGCTCAGTTATTTGCTTTCTTGCATCAAGCTCCCTGTGTGGTTGTGTTAAGCTCTGTGTATGGCCATTCAGACCATACTGAACTTCAGAGGCTAAGGAAGGACCAGGACCATGCAGGGAGAGCATGTGCTGAACAGTGGGGTCACGAAATCATCCAGCCCAGGCAAGCAGCCTCCCCCGGTGTGTGGGTGACAAAGATGAAGACAAGAATATATAATCATGGGATGGTTTGGGTTGGAGAAGACTTTAAAGATCACTTAGTTCCAATCCCATACTTTGTGGACACGGCATGTTGGGATTCAGCAGAGCTGCTTTCAGTTTGGATTCTAGTTACTTACCTGTCCTCTTTCTGCTCTCAGGACATTTCTTTTTGTACCCCTCTTCACCTGATGATGCATTTTCGTTCACAGGCAGGCTTTTAATTGCATGAAAGACTTCAGCCACCGCTACAAGTTTATCCTCACCTTCAGGATTTCAGACACTTGTAATGGACTGGTAACCAGGGGACAGTGATGGCACAGGCACAGCAGGGTGTGTGGATTTGTCTTGAAGGAAATGAAGCATAAGCATTATTTCTGTACCTCCTTTCTTATACCTACAAGTCGCACGCATTAAAGTCCTTATTTATTGTTTTTCCCCTTTCCTCTCTTCCAGATTTGAACAGTGGGAAGATGCTGATGGACAAAAACGAAACTTGGCTCTCTAATTTCTCCTCTGCTGACTCCTCCTTTGTGAAAGGAGGTGGCAACTTGGCAGGGATTGGCCTGCAGGAGGTGGTCATTGGGCTGATATTGACCCTCATTGACTTGATCACACTCCTGGGAAACACAATAGTGTTCATCTGCCCAGTGGTGGAAAAGAGACTGCGCACCGTCACCTATATGTTTATCATGTCCTTGGCCATGGCAGACTTCCTTGTAGCTTGTCTGGTCATGCCCTTTAGGTACGAAGTGATAGAAGTTCACGTGCTGTGCTTAGGGCTGGGATCTCCAAAGAGCTTAGTGGTGGTTGGGGTCTACATGTGCTTCTGTGCCTCAGTTTTCCTGTTCTTTCTAGTGGTTCCACTTATAGACAGAGAATTCCATAGGGTATTTATCCTGTTGGCTACATAGGGATGCTGGCTGCTGGTCTGATATCCAGCCTTTGAGGTGGCTCCAGTGCAATGAGTCCCCCTTCCAGGACTAGCTCTGCACTGCACATGGGGCCAACGGGCTGCTAGAGGATTTTACATGCTCTGGGTGTGTGGGGAATAGGAGATGAAGACTGACTGGTGTGTCAGCATTAAGCATAATGTTTTGCTCCTGCTAGTTTCAAAGGCAGAGCAGCAAACCACAGAGTATAGTTTCTCCTCATTTTCTTATTCAAGAATGACTATTGAAATCAGTGGAGCTCAATTCTGTGCTTTCCATTTTACACTTCTTTAGCTTTATCTTTTATTTTGTGGTAGTGGGAGGGAGAAGTAAAAACATTCCTTGCTAGTGTAAGAAAAGGGATGATTTGATATTACTGACTGTGAAAGGCTATTACAAGGATGTTATTCTTCATATTCTTCTTATTCTTGTGGTTTTGACTGCTGAATTTTGGTTGTTCCTTCTGGTTCAGACAATGTACCAGTGGGGTTTGTGGGGAAGGCTGTGGACCTTGCAAATCAAACAGACTAGAAGAACCACAGTCTGCAGAGGGATAACAAATGGGACTCACTGCACTTGGGGAACTGTTTTGCCCCTGTTACCTGACTATATTACACATGTAATAGGCAGTGTTGACATGGGAACAAAGGCCATCCCCCTTCTCTCTGTGTAAATGTAAAGATTTCATTTTAGTATAAACAGGGTAATTTAGGCTCCCCCTGTGTTTACTGCAGGAGGAGGCATTCAGAGGGCAGTCCTCTCTGCATGAGGTTTATATTTACGGGAGCTTCACTATCTGGCTAAAACATAGTAAACCAATTCCAGAAAGCAGTTTACTTGTAGATGCTGATGCATGTTAATGAATGCCAAAGAGGAGGAAAAGGAATGATCTCAGGAGCCAGTTTGGCTCAGGAAAACATGACAGAAAGGAAAAACAAGGTTGTCACTTGGTGCCTTAATTTCATAAGAATAAGACTTCTGTTTTGTTCTGGCTTGGCTCATGTGCAGGAGCAGTTCAGCTGTGCTTGGCTCATTGTCTGGGTACTCCAGCCAGCCCAGCCATTTCCAGGCTGAGTATTTCCAGCTACTCTTTTCTTTTGTGAGCATAAGTGAAGCACAGGGGTGACTTTGCTCATACTGTGTGTTACTTTGGGCTTTTATTGTTCCTTTTTCATCAGCATCGTGTCCAAGCTACAGAGACCTTTTACATCAGAGAAGAGAGAACAGGTATTCACTGGTACCACATCCATAGATACCCTGTGCGGTGATAACATCACATAACATGTGATAACATAGAATCATAGAATCATAGAACAGTTAGGGTTGGAAAGGACCTTAAGATCATCTAGTTCCAACCCCCCTGCCATGAGCAGGGACACCACACACTAAACTATGTTGCCCAAGGCTCTGTCCAGCCTGGCCTTAAACTCCTCCAGGGTTGGAGCATTCACAACTTCCTTGGGCAACCTATTCCATAACATGTTCCATAACATATTCCATAACATGTGTGGGTCAAGTGCATGCCACCAGATGTGTGCTGATGAGAGACAGGCACCTTCTCAGCTGGAATCTGTGTGCAGGGATGCTCACAACAGCAGCATGGTCCACTTCTGGAAGGCCATGGTGTTCACACCACAGGCTTTGCAGCATCTCAAGGGATAAGAAGGGCTTCTTTGAATGGCAATAAGACACCCAAGTCCATTGCAGGACCTGTGCTTTGACTTCTAAATGCCTCATCTGTAAAGAGAGCCATGAAACCTTTCCGTGTGTGTCAATGGGACCCTCCATGCTGCCCATGTAGGGGCTGGGTACACTCCAGTGTACCCAGCTCTCTCTTGTTTGTGTCATGTCAGGTTTTCTCACTTTGTTTCCAAAACCTCTCTCTCTAGTTAAACCTCAAAATCCTGCCTGAGATATATGACTATCGCTTCAGAAAACATCCTGAGTTTGAGAGGAGGAAGACTACTGCTACACGCAATGACTGAGTCTCAGTGATCTCAGACTCGTGTCTCCTTTTGTGCTCAGTGGGGAGAAGATGCTCCCAACTCCACAATGGGGGACTTTTCAGTTGAGGAAATCCACACGTTTGTGTCCACAGCTCAATTCCCAGACTTTGGCAGAGTGGTGTCACAGGTACCTGGTGTGGCTAACGAGAACACAAAGACACACCAGTGTCTGTGTAGGGACAGGTTCTGCTGTAGGTTGATGTTGCCTTGGGTTGTTGTGCAGCATCCTGCATAACAAAAAGCTACCTGGGCCCTTCATCACCACTGTACCCACTGTTGTGCCCTAGAACAACCTTCACAAGTCACTTGAATGAATCATTGCTGATAGATGTGGAGCAGGAGCTGGTTTTGAACTCCTCTGACATCAAGCTGACTCCTCCTGCCCTGGCAGAGCCCACCCGAGCGTGCTGCAGCGCAGCAGCTCTACCTCCTCTGTATTTGCCCAGCAAGCTGTGAAGTTCCAGGATAATTAAAGCTTTGCAGGACTAAGTCATCACTCAGCCTTTCACATCGAATTCACATGCAATGGTTGTTCCAGCAGCACCCCAGGAGATGCAGAAAGCAGGGGAAAGAAAGAGGAAGCAAATGGCATCTAATTGAATGCTATAGAAACATGCATCAGCCTTCCTACAGCTGCCATACGTTCCTTCCTTCGCTGCTCACTTCTTAAAGACCCTTCTTGGCTTTGTTAGAAATGATTTTGGCATAATGCCTGCTTTGTGGTGGTGTGTTCACACCGCTGGGACATTTGTGAGCTATGTAACATACAAGCTGCATAGGCTTCCTCCTAGTTTAATGTTTTTAACCAGGAGTTGAAATCCTCTTGCTTTGAAGCATGAGACCAAATGAAAAGTGAGTTTCTAGGAGGAGGGAGCATCTTCCACACCTCAGGAATTGGGTAGAGATCATAAAAGCCTGTGTCACACAGGGCACTGGGAAAAGCTGTGGTAGACAAAGCTGTGCAGATGTAAATTTGGGGAGCTCTGGGGGGCAAAGCACCTCTGTCAAAGCACCAGCTTGTAACAGGCAGGCAAGAAGCATAGGTTTGGTCTTCCTCAGCCATGCCTCACCAAGGTGCCTTGTGTTGCGCTTTGAGGGTGAATCCCTGCTGCCTGAGCTGCACGCCCATCTTTAGTACCTCCATGATAAATATGGTGTTACTACCATAGAGCCTTGGAGGAATGCATGAAATGAGTCCTTCCAGCTCTGATTTCCACCCGCTTTCTCTTGCAGCATCATTTACGAGGTGACGGGGATGTGGCTGTTTGGGAAGCTCTTCTGCAAAGTCTGGATCTCCTTTGATGTCATGTTCTGCACTGCATCCATCGTCACGTTGTGCTTCATCAGCCTGGACAGGTACTGCTCCGTGGTGACCCCCTACCACTATTCAAGAAGGATGTCCCGTGGCAGGTGAGTGGTGTTGCTCCTTGCTTTGGGTCCCTCACAGTTTTAACTTGGCCTATATTGACTTAAGACCAAATGAACTATGAACAGTTGGTGCCCAAAAGCGGAGCGATGTGGCAAAAGGATCTTCACGCTATTTAAAGCTTTGCAGAAGATTTTAATGTGGTGCAGGAGAAAAGGGGAATGAGCACCTATGGTGGTGCTCATAGGAATGGACTTTCTGAGCTAAGGATGGGTTGCAAAATGGGGTAGAAACAAGTGATGGGGCCTGACTTGTTCCTACAACTTGCAGGCATTTCATGGGACTAGGGGAAATGACAGCCAGAAGAATGTGAGTAGCAGTAATCTTCCCCCTCTTCAACTCATGATGTTTTCTGAAGTGACAGTCATATATCTCAGGCAGGACTGTGAGGTTTAGCTAGAGAAGGGGTGAGATAGAGGTCTTGGAAACAAAGCAAGAAACCTGACATTGTGCAAACAAGAGGGAGCTGGGCTGTTCAGCCTGGAGAAGAGAAGACTGCAGGGAGACCCCATAGCAGCCTTCCAATACCTGAAGGGGGCCTGCAAGGATGCTGGGGAGGGACTCTTTGTTAGGGACTGCAGTGGTAGGACAAGGGGTAATGGCTTTAAACTTAAACAGGGGAAGTTCAGGTTAGATCTAAGGAAGAAGTTCTTTACTGTGAGGGTGCTGAGGCACTGGAATAGGTTGCCCAAGGAAGTTGTGAATGCTCCAACCCTGGCGGTGTTCAAGGCCAGGTTGGACAGAGTCTTGGGCAACATAGTTTAGTGTGTGGTGTCCCTGCCCATGGCAGGGGGGTTGGAACTAGATGATCTTAAGGTCCTTTCCAACCCTGACTATTCTATGATTCTATGATTCTATGAAGAGACTGCAGGAATCACAGCGAGCAAAGTCATGCTAAGACAAGACAATGCTTCCCCATCCCTGGCAGTGTTCAAGGCCAGGTTGGACACAGGGGCTTGGAGCAACCTGCTCTAGTGGAAGGTGTTCCTGACCGGGGCAGGGGGGTGGAACTGGATGAGCTTTAAGTTCCCTTCAACCCAAACCAGGCTGTGATTCAGGAGGGAAAATGCAGAGAAGACAAGATGGGTTTCTAAGCTTGTGTCAAGGTTTTGTGTGAAACACTGAAATGAGTACTGAAGAAGGGGAAAGTTGTCTGAGGGAGGACACTGTGGCTCTGGAGTGCTTTACCAGGTGGGTTCAGGCTCTTTTGGGGATGTTTTCCACACTATAACTCTTGCTGCATGCTATCTGGGGAGCACAGGTCCCTAAGATGAGGAGGGGGCTGCGCATCATGCTGTGCTGCAGAGCAAGCACTGTAGTGGTTGGTTCTGAGGATCTGATGTCCATCAGCTATTGCTGCTCAGAGAATAATGGCGAGAAACCAAAGCTGAAACCAAATAGGAAAAGCTACATTGAATTGTTATAAATATTAACAGAAATCCTCTGTGAAACCTTTCCTCCTCATTTTTTCCAGCCGGCTCTGAGCATCCCTTACATTGACCTCAGTTCTGTAAACCACAGACCCAATTACCCTGTTGGTAAGGGTCTGGACTTGTTGTACCCCAGCTTTTCCCCTTCTCCAGGCCCTGTGGGACTGCAGAGCGATATCCCACATGGCTTACCATGGGCATTGAGTCGTACTGCATGTTCTCGACTGAAAATTGCTCCGACCCTCTCTCCCCTCTCCACCTCTTCCCTTTCACAGATGCATCGTGATGACCTGCATGGTCTGGGTATACTCCTCCCTCATTTCCTTCCTTCCTGTCATGCAAGGCTGGAATGAGATCCCCGGGGTGGACTTTGATGCAGGCAGAGAATGCATCTTTGTCACCAACTGGATTTTTGCCATCGTGGCTTCTGCTCTGGCGTTTTTTGTTCCCTTCATGGTCATGTGCAGCATGTATTTCTTCATCTACCGCGCTTCGCGGCTCAAGGCCACTCGTATCATGTCTCAGACCCTGGAGATCCACTACCACCCCAACAGCAAGCGGCAGAACCACCTGCAGCTGGAGAACAAGGCCACACGGACCATCAGCATCATCATCTCAGTCTTTGTGCTCTGCTGGCTGCCCTACTTTGTCCTCAACGTCTGGCTTGCAGCCAGAGGCACCGACTCCACCAGCACAGTCTTGGTTGATGCATTCAAGATCATCACTTGGTTGGGGTATTGCAACTCCACCATCAACCCAATGCTCTATGCTTTCCTGAACCGGGACTTCCAACGGGCCCTGAAGAAGCTGCTCATTTGCAGGCACAGGTCTCAGGTGGACATAGGAGAAGACATGGTTTCCATAGCCACGTTTTCCAAGACTGCTCCAGACTTAGAATACAGCATCACAGTGCCGGTGCCCAATGGGGCCCTGAAGGGCAAACCCAAGTAATAGGGATTCGGAATGAGATGCTGGAGGTGGTGACACAGAAAGGACCAGAGCACATCCTAATGGAAAAATAATGGGTAGGAAAATGGGGGAAAGGAGGAGCTAGAATATGACACCTGGGGACAAAGGGCAAAAGTGCATTTCCTCATCTCCCACAGTTTTATAAACAAGGAACTTTGATATTTTAGGGGCAACTTGTTATAATTAATGGAGCTAATTCTTTCCTGCCTAATTATTTTTTAATGAGCATTTCCTAAGACAAATTCAATCTTCATTTAGAGGAAAACAGTATGATAATGTGAACTTGTCTCTGTGTACATCCAGGTGCTCTGCAGCATGAGGTGGGACAGTGTTTCTTGTTTCTCAAGCCACTGTAGCTCTCACCTTGCAGCTTACATTATAGATTTCATAGAACCATGGAATGGTTTGGGTTGGAAAGGACCTTAAAGCTCATCCAGCTCCAACCCCCTGCCACGAGCAGGGACACCTTCCACTAGAGCAGCTTGCTCAGATTTGATTGATTTTAGTAATTCTGTGTGTGTCAGTCTGTGTATGGGTGTTAGGAGGGATGTGGTCAAGGAGCAGAGGTCACGTCTTTACAAAGGCACCATGCTGCAGTCTAGGCTGTTGCTCAGGCTTCAACTTGCTCCTGAGAGGTTCAGAGCTTTCAGTGGCTTTCTGTGAATTACCTGAGTGTCCTTATGCATTCTGGAAGGGAATATCCTATGTGGCAGGCCCCAGGAGATGAGCAAGACTTGCTAAGAGCACTGAGTGCCCCTGGGGTTCAAAGGGAGCTGCAGATGACCAACAGCAGCCAAAAAGGGGACATGAAGAGGAATTATTACTTGTGTGTTTTGCACTGTGATGTCTATGCCTTGCTGCCATGAGTGTAGCTGCAGAATATTGCTGGACCATACAGCCATAAGAAAAGGATGATGAATGGGAATGATTATTTTTACCACTCCCGAGTGCTTGTCTGGACTTCCAACAGCAGTCAAAAAGAGGACATGAAGAGGAATTATTACTTACTTGTGTGTTTTGCACTGTGATGTCTATGCCTTGCTGCCATGAGTGTAGCTGCAGAATATTGCTGGACCATACAGCCATAAGAAAAGGATGATGAATGGGAATGATTATTTTTACCACTCCCGAGTGCTTGTCTGGACTTCAAACAGCACCAAACAGCACTGGCTCCCTGCAGGAGGGCCATGAATTGCCTTACCAAAGGATGATACTGAAAAGGCAGGACTGCTCCCTAATGTCTTTGCAGCATCATAGCAGTGAGTAAAAGGAGGAGCTGAGCCCCCAGGACCACAGCTTTTCTGTAGCAGGGTTACATGAGGGCTGGTGACCACTCATACAACAGCCATTGCTTCCCCTGGGTCTCACACTGGTTTACATGGGAGTCACTGCACTCAGAGCCTGCTTTTAGACTGATCTTCCATGGACACAAAACACTTGAGGGATGGTTGCTAAAACAGCTTCTTCTGAGTGTACACACCTACTTGGGACAGGTTCTGCAGCCTGAGAAGCACAGCAAACAGCAGAAAGATACCCAGGTTAATATTTAATGCTAAAACTAATGGACTGAGGCGCTCAGAGGGGTGAAGAACATCACTTTGTTACTAAATAAAGGGGGATGTTAGTAAAAGCCCTGAGTGCTTCTGCTCTTCCAGCTCAAAGACAGCAGAGGACTGTCCTCAGAGGTGTAGCAAAAAGCAGGTATCTACTGCCTGGAGCAGGTCAGCTACTGAAGACGCTGGTACAAGCATCAGAAGTTCTCTCTCAAGAGCCTGGTGGAAGAAACAGCCCTGACATGGGGTTGCAGCACTGCTGCTCCTGTCAAAGGACTCTTCTGCAGTGGATTAGGTCTCCCAGCTCCTACGGCTCCAGTAACAACGTGGAAGTGGTAAGGAGAACAACTACGCAATCCTGCCCTTACTCTGGGAGAGGGAAGCATCTAGATGCTGTGGGCACAAAGATACACAAAAGCGGTGGATTTTTGCTTCTGTCACTCAGTTCATTTCGATAAAGCAGGACAAGAACTGTGTTTCAGCCCCAGGAGCTATGAGGGTCAGGCAACAACCTCTGCAAGAACAGGCTGGGACCCAGGGCTGTAGAGTGCAGCAGAGCCTGAGACCAGAGCTCCCTTCTGCAGGGCTGTAAGTTGGCAGCTAACCTCCATGTTCAGGTGTCTCTCTGCAGAAAACATTGGTGGGAAGGTACACATTGATTTCCATGGTCACAAGAAGACCTGAGTCAGTCTGGTTGTTGTTTTCTAGATGTCAATTAACTAAAAAGAGGGAAAATAAACCTGTGAGCCATCAGGGCTGTTCAGCCTGGAGAAGAGAAGCTGTGTAGAGACCTCAGGGCAGCTTCCAGTAGGGGGCTACAAGGATGCTGGAGAGGGACTCTTTACCAGGGACTGTATGTAGCAATAGGACAAGGGGTGATGGGTTTAAACTTAGGGGAAGTTCAGGTTGGATACAAGGAAGAAGTTCTTTACTGTGAGGGTGCTGAGGCACTGGAACAGGCTGCCCAAAGAAGTGGTAAATGTTCCACCTCTGGCAGTGTTCAAGGCCAGGCTGGACAGAGCCTTGGGTGACATGGGCTAATGTGAGGTGTCCCTGCCCATGTCAGGGGGTTGGAACTGACTGATCTTAAGGTGCTTTCCAACCCAAACCATTCTGTGATTCTATGATTCTATGTAAAGACTGGGATCTTGCAGAGAAGGTGGAAAGCTGCTGCTGTCATCCATACGGAGCTGAGACAAGCTGCCTTCATGGCTTTCCCTTTGGGATGTGAGCAGAGAGCAAATGCACATCAGGTCAAGGCCTTCAGTCATGACTGATCATTTAGTCTGAGTTGACTGAACAACATCCAGCAGAAGGAAAGGGACGGAACAGGGAAGTGTAATATAATTAAAACCTGACTTAAAGAAGGAAAACAACATGAGACGTGCATATTCCAGGTGGCCTAGTTCTGAAGAGCTGGTAAAATGGAGCTTATGGGGGTATTGAAGCCCAGCTGGATACTTCATAGCACAGAGAAGCATCCTCTTCCCCACTGGTGGGGCAGAGCAAGTGGAGCTTCCAGGGACAGGGAAATGGGTACCTGCAGGCAAGACCTGAGTTCAGAGGAAAACCTCTCTGGTTAGGGAAGACTTTCTGGAGCAAAAAGGAGGAAAGACAGGGACAACACACTCCAGCATCCAGTGCTAGGAAAAGCAAAGCCTCGCTGACATGGGCAGTAAAGAGCTGAATATGGCCAGGTGCTTTTGTGGCTGGGTATGCAGCACCCAGAGTAGGATTTGTGCATGCCTTTGAGGCTAAGTGTAACATCCCAGAATACGTAGACATAGCCAGTGTAAGCACATACGCCATTTGGTTACTGAAATGCTGCAGGGCCCTTGGAATAGGCAGCTGCTTGCATCCAGCACAGATACACAGCAAGTTAAAACCACGGTATTCTTCATTTCCTGTGCTCCATCTGTAATCAGTGAACTGGCAGAGAAGCTTCAGAGGCTTCAAACGTTGGCATTTAACTGGACATTTATAGCTGATGTTAACAGGGAAATCCAAAGGAGAGGACACACTTAAAACTGTATTCTGTTTTAACCCAGCTAAACTCCATAAAGTTCTGTTTCTGACCAAATACTGCAGCATTCTGGCTTCAACTGGACAAGCCAATATCTAGATCCAAGAGCCTTTGTAATCCACTTCTGCCATATCATAAAGCTGCAGAGTATCCCTTGGTTTAATTGTTAGTTGTAGAGTCACACCACAGTACAGTGATCCCTTGAATCCAACATCTTTCTTAAGAACCTGATTTCAGAGACTACAACTTTAACAGATTTAAGCCTGTAAAACAGGAAAACACATTGATACAAAATCAGTTCTGTCAGTTATCTCTTCTTATCATAGAATGGTTTGGGTTGGAAAGGACGTTAAGCTCATCCAGTTCCAACCCCCTGCCATGGGCAGGGACACCTCACACCAGACCATGTCACCCAAGGCTCTGTCCAGCCTGGCCTTGAACACTGCCAGGGATGGAGCATTCACCACTTCTCTGGGCAGCCTGTTCCAGTGCCTCAGCACCCTCATAGTAAAGAACTTCTTCCTTAGATCTAACCTGCACTTCCCCTGTCTAAGTTTAAACCCATCACCCCTTGTCCTGTCACTACACTCCCTCTCTGTTAACAGCTGAGAGCTTGCCTCAGTAACCCACCCAGTTTAGACAGATCAATTCTCTTCTTTCTTCAGGCAGTACCTCACTTCCAAGCAGCATATTCATCTTTGCAGCATCACGTGCACTGTGGCAAGTATGAGACAGGAAAGCAAAGCAAGTTAGAGAAATACATCCTCATGTTCCAGCTGCACTGGGCTGCCATCTGCAGCATGCACCGAGCTGCCTCTGAACAGAAGCAACTACTAAAGTGGTTTCTTTTATAAATAAAAAAAGTTTATTAAATCATTTAGACTTGAAAGAAGTCACAATAATTAAATGCACTCAACAACTGCAGCGAGTGCGTTCTGTACACCACCAACCCAAATGGATTGATTCTGGAATTTATAAATAAAAATTACCATATTTACAGGGAGAAATAAAAAGCATGGCATTAGGCAGTTAAATCAGCAGGTTACACAAATGCCTAGCAGTTGATTCCTTAAAAAGTACAAAATCTACAAGGTTACATACGACACGTATGACTTCATCAGGTTTAAGTTTGCAGAATCACAACATTTTTGTACATCATTTTTACTATGGCTCTTCCAATCACTGCCTAAAAAAACCTCCTTTTTTGAATGGCAAAAAAGCTCCTTTTCCTTCTCTACAGGTTTATCTGTATAAAATGCATTCCCTAAGTTCTACTATAGTGCAGAAGTATGAAATGATTTCCTCTAATGACTGGCTATGGAGAGTGACAGTATGTACAACTGTGGTACTTTTTTTGCTTTAAAAATAGTGCAGCTTCCCAGTTTATCCACCGGGAACAAAAAGTG